TAAAACAAGTTTATTTTTTTTAATATAATTATGATTTATATTACATAATTTATATTAAAATTTTGAAATATAATCTGATCCAAAAAAAATCAAAATTGAATTCTTTTTATAATTTGATAAATAATAATTTAAATTAAATAAAACTTTTAATATATATTATTTATAATAAAAAAATTAATATATCAAAGTTTTATAAATATTTAATTAGCAATTTATTTTAAATTATTAATTTAAAATTGAAAAAAAAATTTTTTTAAATAATTACAAAATTTAAATATAAATTTATGTATAAATTTTGGTTGAAAAATATTAATCATAAAATAAAAAAAAATTTTTAACTTATAAAAAAATTATTAAAAATAAAATTTTTTAATAGTAAAATTATAAAAAAATTAATTTATTATAAAATATATTTTTATTTAACAAATTTATCTATTGAAATAATTTTAATAATTTTTTATTAATAATTTTTTCTAATGAATTTAAATTAATTAAATTTTTTTAAAAATTTTTTAAATATTTTGATAATATATTTAAAAAGTTTATTAAATTAACTTATTCTTTATATTTTCAAATAAATATAAATATTTATATATTTATAATATTTTATTTATTTATTATTAAATTAAGAAATATAATTTATTCCAGTTTTTTTTGGATCATATTATATATTTTTAATATACAAATCAAATAACAAATAATAAAAATAAATTGCTTATTAAAAACAGTAGTTATAAAAATTATATAAATATTAAAATTTGAATTAAAAAATTTTATTATATACAGAATTTATTATAAAAAACAAGTTTACTTAATATATTAAAATTGTTTTTATTAATAAAATAGAAGATTTAATATATAACAAATATTTTTAATTAATTATAAGTAAGATTTTTAATAATATTATTTTAATGTCAAATTATTTAATCTAATCTAGATTTTGATAGTTATTATTTAAAATATATAACTTTTAGAATTGGTTAGAATATCTGAATAATCTATTCAATACATTTAACTAAAACCTTGAAGAAAGTATTATACTATTTGCAGCTTTGAATAACTTTATTATAGAATTTTTTTTTTTAAGCAAAATGCTGAATTGAAATAGTTTCAAGTTAGAACATTCTTTGTGCTATGGAATTTGTCATGCCAATTGAATTGTAGGTTTTTATATAAGTTAGACCAGAATTATTGAAAGGAATTATATATTCAATGTATTATTATTATTATAATATAAAATTTATATATTTATTAATATTATTTTTATATTGTATATGTTAATATAAATTTTAACATCCCCAACAAAAATATGATTAAAATAATATATATACCATATTTATAAATTAGATATGTAAAGATCGATAAGCAATCTATTATTCAAAAAATGAGGATCACCGAGGTAAAAAGCACCACACGCGAACAACGCATCGCGCCTCATACACACATTAAGGGACTTGGCTTAAATGAGGAAGGTAAAGCCTATCAGCTAGGCGACGGGTTTGTAGGTCAAAATTCAGCGAGAGAGGTCAGTTTTTTTTTAAAAAAAAATTCTGAAAATACTCGCGAAGTTTTTTCAAAAGTATAATGTAATTTCCCTCTAGGCATGCGGAATCATTGTTGATTTAATAAAATCGAAGAAAATGGCAGGCCGAGCATTACTTTTGGCTGGTGCACCTGGTACGGGTAAAACCGCTATCGCTCTTGCCATATCACAAGAACTAGGTCCAAAAGTACCTTTTTGTCCGATGGTAGGCAGCGAGGTATACTCCTCAGAAGTTAAAAAAACTGAAGTTTTAATGGAAAATTTTCGGAGAGCCATAGGTATATAGAAGTCGCGATACGTGATTTATAAAGACCCAATTTAATTTGTCGGTTGCTTTAGGTTTAAAGATCAAAGAGACCAAAGAAGTTTATGAAGGAGAAGTGACTGAGCTTACACCTGAAGAAATAGAAAATCCTTTAGGTGGATACGGAAAAACTTTATCACACGTGATCATTGGGCTTAAAACTGTTAAAGGAACGAAACAATTAAAGTTAGATCCGAGTATCTACGAGAGTATCCAAAAAGAAAGGGTTACGGTCGGTGATGTTATATACATAGAGGCTAATACGGGAGCTGTGAAGGTATTCATTGGTGATGAATAATTGTTTATTACGTTGCTCATGTATTGACTAGTTAAGGCTACGTTTCGGAACAGCGAGTCGGACGTTCTGACGCCTATGCTACCGAATTTGATTTAGAAGCGGAAGAATACGTTCCGCTTCCGAAAGGGGATGTTCATAAGAAAAAAGAAGTAGTTCAAGATGTAACATTGAATGACTTGGATATAGCGAATGCACGACCACAGGTGAACGTTTAATTTACATCGTTTTTGCAGAGGTATATTTTTATAACCTTTGTTCTCTTTCTTTTCAAGGGTGGACAAGATATTATGTCTATGATGGGTCAATTATTGAAACCAAAGAAGACTGAAATTACAGATAAGTTGAGAAAGGAGATTAATAAAGTAGTCAATAAGTATATAGATCAGGGTATTGCCGAATTAGTTCCGGGCGTTTTATTCATTGATGAGGTTTGCGTCAACGCTATAATGACATGATTTTCGTTAAAATTTATATTATACATTAATGAACCGAATATAATCTATTTAAGGTGCACTTGTTAGATATCGAATGTTTTACTTATCTTAATAAGGCATTGGAGTCTTCTATATCACCAATAGTAATTTTTGCCACGAACAGAGGGATGTGTCAAGTAAGGTAAATAGAAATTTACGTTTTGTTAATAACATTTAATTGAATCATAATTTACATGGTGGTCCTTTTTAGAGGAACAGAAGATATTATTGCTCCTCATGGAATACCTGTTGACCTGCTTGATAGAATTTTAATTATTCGTACACTACCTTACACTTTGGGAGATATTAAATCGATAGTTCAAATACGAGCAAAAACGGAAGGACTAACGTTATCAGAAAGTGCTTTAAATCACTTGGCCGAATCGGGTGTTAAAACCTCATTGAGGTACTTAGTTTTCTTTATCGATTGACAAACATAATTCTGACTGTTTATATTTTACACAGATATGTCATTCAATTGCTTACGCCTGCGAGTATTCTTGCTCGAATCAATGGTCGCGAAAATATTGAATTGGAAGATATTAAAGAAGTCGACGATCTATTTTATGATGCCAAGTCTTCTGCTAAAGTCCTTGCTGAGTATCAAAGTAGGTTTATGGTTTCTTTAAGTTTGCTTCTAAACGAGTTAAATAACAAATGCTTTACTTTGTTTACGCAGCACGATATGTTTCTTGATTATGAAAAGAAATTTTATAGACATGACAACGATATACCCTGTATACATTTACATTTAAACTACGTTTCTAAATAATTAAAAAGTAGTGATTAGTTCTGTAAAACGATATAAATGTGTCGGAAAACTATTCGTTATTGATTTTATATTAATACTAAAATTTAAACTTCCTCAAAGTAAAGTTGATGTTTTTAAAAAATTTTATTGTATAATTATTTCCACAATACAATTGAAGGTAAATATATATTTGAAACCTTAATATATAACTAAAAATGCCTATAATTTATGGAGTAACAAATGAAATAAAATAAATAAAACCAATAAAACCATTTTGTTCACTACCAATCTAACCATATATTTTAAACATTACTAAATATTTCGAATCTTCCGTGTTAATTGAAATTTATAATATTTTAGCCCTCAGGACAACTAATATTATTATAATTGTTTAAGAGGCAACTGACATCAAGCAAAGATGATACGTTACGGTTGTGGTCTTTCGAGAATTTAGATCAGAATACACGCATTCTGGAAGGACATACTGATGCCGTTTGGAGTGTGACCTACTCTCTGGATGGCACCCAACTTGTATCGGATAATTACTTTGAAGCGCGGCTGTGATCTCTCGAGAATTTAGATCAGAATCCGCGCATTCCGGATGGAGATACTAACATCATTTATGGTGTGACCTTCTCAACGAATGGAACCCAACTGACATCGGACAGTTCAGACGAGAAGTGCGAATTGTTATTGATTTAATAAATAAATGATTTTACCTAATTGAGGGATCCTACAGTGTAACAATGTCAAAACCCCGATAAATAGGGATTTCGACATTTTTGACGTATTTAACATTCAACCCTTAATCTAAAAATATGTTATAATAACGAATTTACTGTAATTGAATTCTCATTTATATCACGGCAAATGATACCTACCGATTCATTGAACTCTACCAATACTACATCTACAAGAATAATATCTACATTTAATCCGAATTTTTCATTTGACATACTGGCCGATAATGCACGGGTTTATACGATTACTTCGGATCAATCCTTTATGGGATTATTTGATGTCATGTACGTTTTGCTATTTGCAATTGTGATTGGGGAGATGGTAAGTTCGTTTAATAAAGATTAGAGGATTGAGATTTTTCGATTTTTTTTTTAACCTAAATTGTCATGCATAACAGAATAATATAACAATTTCATATTCAATATGCATAATAATGATTATAATTTGGTTATGGACCAAATTTAACATTGTTAAATCAGGTAGCGGCGTTGCTTGATAGTACTTTAAAATATGACATTCACAAATTATCGTATTAGTAACATTTCATTTTACTTACTAAAAGAAAGCATATTATCAGTGAGGGATGTAGGAGTTCAGGTAACAACCGTATACCTGAATGGTAGAAGTGTTTCCAAATTTATCGATAAATCAAAGATTTCTGACATAATAATCAATGAAGGGATTACAATGCTTCAGGTGAAGTTTTATATGGCAATAATTGTTGAAGGGCAAGACCGTATGGTTGTGGTGTTTCAGGTTTGTTCTATTATTACTCAATCTTTATTGTTTGTATTTCATGATATATTCCTTTTGGGTGGAATCTGCTAAAAAATATTTTTCAACATATCAGCATTTATTACCGAAGTTAAATGTATTGATACAAGTATATCGTGGTACAAGATCAGTTATATTTAATGAAATGGAAGAGGAACTTGGTGAAGCAGATTACCCTAATTCCAAATAGATTCATCTCTTCGAGTATGATCGTAGGGGATGCGCTTTTATTTTACCTAGTAACTGAAAAAAATATAATTTGTAAATTTTATTAGATTTAGACAAATGAAATACAAGGCAACAAGCTTATAGTAAGAAAATTTTTATATAGTAACATCGAATAAGGCAATATCAATGTGATGCTAAATATTTTGAAGCCAAATCACCTCTGTAATACTATGATGTTAATTCTAACATTTAATGCTTAATAATTAAATTTATTTATTATTATTTTTTATAAATTTATTTTATCAACAATTATTTTTTCTTTATATACAGTATGTATACATTGATTTCAAATATCGTGCTAGTGCTATATATAATTACATTAATAAGATATAGGTGTACTTGTACAAGCCTATTAAGCCTAGAATTTCTGTCTATAACACAATTAAGATCCCTAGAGATAATTATTATCATCAGAAATTTTTTTTGAAAAAAAAACTTTAGAGATCTTCACTTTCAAAAATCTTTAAAATTTTGATATTGAAATAATTCAAAGATTTTCAAAAGAAAAACTTCTGGTTTAACTCTAATAAAAGTCTATTAATTCAAAAAGGACTCATGATATATTATATTATTAACTTGAATAGATAACTTTAAAGAAAAAATAGACAATTATATACAAGTATTCTAAAATAACTTATTAATATATAGGAGTTGCATCTTGTTTGACATTTATATCCTTAAATTTGAAAGCTTAAATTAATTAAAGCCTATAAAGTATTTACTAGAAGATTTAAAAGTCACATTTCACTTTGTTACAAGCCTTCAAATTTGATAATCTATACTAATTATATGAATAATTTTTTGAAAATTTTATTAGAAAATATATAATTATATTTGACTTCTTGAACTTGTAGTTTATATTAAACCATAAATATAAATATAATAAGAGATCTAAAATAAATAACATGTTATATAATTATTAGAACTTTTCAAAAACTGAAAATTTAAATTAAAACTAATAATAAGATTTTTATTTTTTTGAAATTTCTTATTTGACATATAAATTTATTATCTAAATATAAATTAATATAATTAAGTATAAATAATAATAGATAATATTATAACTGTATCGGTTAAATTAATAATAGTTGTTAAACTGTTTATATATAGAAAATGTAATCTATAATAATTAATAAAATCCATATATATAGTGCAATTAGTATTTATTAAAGAATAAATAATATTAATTAAAATAGACTGTTTATATAATAATAAATATAATTCTTAAAAATGATTAATAAAAAATATATATGTATTATACTTTAGTCTTTAAAAAAAATAATTAATTAAATAAAAATAAAAAAAGCAAAAAATAATATTTGAACTGATATTAAAATAATATTGAAATAATATTAATTTATAATAATTTTAAGTATCAAACTAATATCAAAATAATATTAAAATAATATTATTAAAAATCTTGTAAAAAATAATTAAAAGTATAAATTAATCAAGATTTTATTAAAATTAAGAATTCTAATAATTTGATTTGATTTTGTATTTGATTTTCAAGTTTATATTAAATTTAATAAGTAGATATTATATATATAATAAAAATTATTAAATTGAGTCAAATACAATTAAAAATTAAGAATTTAATAATTAAATTAAACAAATTTTTTTTATAGTTAATGTAATTGATACAATTGTAATACAATATTATAATTATATTATAATTATTTTAATATAATATAATTATATTATAATTATTTTAATATAATATAATTATATGATTTTATTACAATTGTATCACAATTATATAATTTGTTATAATTATTTTTAATTATAATACAATTAATATCTTTATAACTAGTAATTCAATTTGAACAAAAATTTTATTATTCAAAAGCTCTTAATAAAAAAAATTTAATGGTAAAATTTTTTTTTAAATTAAACTACTTATTATAAAGATATCAATTATAAACAATTAAAAATATAAAATATTATATATAATTTTGATAATTAATAATTAATATCTTTATAATTAATAATTAAATTTAAGTAAAAATTTTACTATTCAAAAACTTTTTATTAAAAAAGTTAAATACTATAATTTTTATTAAATTTAATTATTAGTTATAAAATATTTAAATTATAAATAATTTTTTTTTAGTAAATAAATATTATTTTTTTATTTAATTTATATATTAAAAATATATATTGTAAAAGAAACAGCATTTCTCATTTGTAAGTACAGTGAGTTTAATGCTAGCCTGTTTACAGAAATCAAATGATTAATATTAAAAAACAATATATCTTGTCAAGAGATACTGAGCAGCTATATTTATCTACACAGTATTGAAGAAAATAAATTTGATATAGTTTTAAATTAGTTTAATAATATATTTGAAAAAGTTAAAGTTGTTTTGAATATAAATATCTGTAGCTAAGATAAGTAGGTCAATTGTTGTTACTGATTCTTGTATTAATGGAAATTTTTGTAGGTTTGATTTGGAAGTTGTTTAATTGTCTTTGGTTGTGTTAATAAGAGATTTGCCTTTCTACTTTATACTATTTTATGGAAAAATATTGGCTATAGTATATCATAATTTCTATATAATATTATATAGTTGTATTAGGACTTTAGTTGATACTTGTATCTAGTTATTAAAGTCTAATAAAAAGAAAATATTGTTAGTAATGTCACATGCTAGCTTTACAATCTGTCATATATGGGTTATCAGTTTTGAGTTACTATTAAAGTAGAGAATAAGATTGGTTTGCTTGATGATTTAATTGGTTTCTTTTGAAGCTATTGAATATTTAAATACATCTTATATGTTTTTTGTATAAAGTTCATATCATGAACAATAGGGATCTGGATATTGGTCTGGATATTATTAATGGAGGTTTTCTCATGTAGGAAGAGTTTCTAATAAGAGCTTAATGCAAAAAGCAATTAGATTATTGTATTTGTTGTTTCGTGTACTTTTCAAGGTTTTGTTAGATTTGTTAATTATTTTGATGCCTTAAGAATTGTAAATAGAGTTAAATATTTTTAAAATTGATAAGCTTTCTGCTATTATATATGTTTTGATAATGCTAAGAATTTTTTTGCATCATCTGATGTTAATATCCAATTGAGAATTGTTAATTGAAGGATTTTCTGAAAAGTATAATATTAAATTGTTCCAGTTAATAGTATTGTTAGCTCTTAGATTTGACTTGGGGCTGAAATATGTGAGAAAGATTATTTTCTTGAGTATTATTTTGTTAATTTTCTAAATAATTGAGAAGAAATTGATTTTTGTCATTTTTCTAGAATAATTAGAAGTCTCCTGAAGTATTTTTTTGTTATTTTTTATTTCAATTTCACAGTTGAAAAGTTACCAATAAAGAAGATCAAAGAGGACTTATAGCAAATCACTGAATAAAAGGTTAGAATTGTTTAATTTGATTTTAAAGTTGTTTACAAAAATATATCCTTGATGGCTTTGGATATGGTATAATTGAGAAAAACCAATTTCCTGAAGTGTTGAGATAAGAAAAGAGTTGGAGAAAATATCTATTGATTAGAGAATATACTTATTTTTTAGGAGAGTTCTTGAGAGTTCTTTGATTATATTGTTTAGATAATACTTGTTAGGATTTGAGAGGTTGGAGAAAATCTACAAGAAGAATTCTTTTGAGCTTATAAAGTTTAATGTATATAAGCCAGCACTTGAAGTACCAGCTAGGCAATCATCACATTTTATAAAATATTGTTGCTATCTATATTGATATGTTTTTTCTTGAAATGAAAATTTTTTTGGATATAATAATGTCTCTTGTATATTTTAACAATGGTGTTGGTATTGTGAATAAGCCAGAAGGATGCTCTGTGATTAAGTATTGGCCCATGAAATCCCAATAGACTGTTATAGTTGATAAAGTTTTTGAATTAACAGAGTTCTAATCCACACTGGATAATTTTCATATGGGCTATTAGTTGAAACTATACATGTGTTCATATTTAATTCAGACATTTTTCAGAAACCATATTATGTTCATATTACTAAGTAACAATTAGTAAGTAATTAGAAATTGTATTTAATTTGGAATCATATTGTTGATCAAATTTTCTTTTATAGTAATAAGGAAACATGTATAGTTGGAACTAGAAAAGTTTGATTGTACTGTTAAACTTTATTAGTTGATTTGTAAACTGGATATTGAGAGCACTAGCAATATTGATTGCAATAATTCTGATGTTTGGTTAGAATTTGGCTAGTAGAAGACTTGTTAAGTTTCTTGTGTTTGGATGGTAGTTTAGATATTTGACTAGGTAGATTTGAATTTTTAGGTTCTTGGCAATTCTGATAGTATAGAGTATTCAATTATCTTGATTAAATACTTTTGGATCACATATTGGACAAGACCAAATTGCTTTTTTTTTTGTATTAATCATATCTCCTATATTATATATTTTCTTGTGATTGAAGTAAAAAGTTTGATTATTAGATTACCTATTAAAGATAACCTTTGTCTTTCTTTAAGAAGTGCAATATTGAGACTATTGTGGCAAATAAGAATTACATTTGAGCATTTAGAGATTATTTTATATACTGATTTAATAAGTTTATTAATTTTTGTTTGTAGGTGGTTAAGTATAGAATTGTTAAGAAAGGTTATTGTAAGAAAATATTTAAACTTTTCTATAATTACCTATTTACATATTTGCTGTTTGATTTGATCTTTTCAATTTTGTTTATTTAACTCTTGTAAGATTATATCCACTAATTAATTGAAAGCTTTTCTATTGGTTTTGAGAAAATTCCTAGGAGAAATAAGCATTCCTAGATATTTGATGCTTTGGTATAGTTTTAAAACTTGTATTTAATGGTTGCTGAATTTTATGGTATTGAAGATTTCCTATTTGATTTTGACATTGTTTATAATTTGAGTTTTATCTTTATTGCAAATAATATTGTTAATTAAAAAAAATTGATTAGTGATAATTAGGAGATTTTCTATTCTTGATTT